AAATCCGGACGAATGGTAACCCTACCCAGAGTGAACACAAACACCACAGGAAAGTACAGTGGATGTAACAAGGGTAATATTTATTACGAGAGGGATGAGAGGAGAAAAACAACAAGGGGAAATATAGGGGGAGCAGTAGAACAGGGCTGCCTCCAAACCAAGGCCCCACAGGCCCAGTGGTAGCACAGTCTGGAAGGGCAGACACTGAGCAGTGTGTCTGCATACAGAGTTCAGGAGTCCTGAGCAAAGTTCCAGTCCAGTGGTGAGTCTTGGGTGCTCCTGGTCGTCTTTGGCGCCAGTGAACTTTCCCCCAACAAACCCTTCCGGTGCCCTCTTCTGCCGCTCTCTGCAAAGCCACCCAGAGCGACCCCCTCCCCACTTAACTAGCTACAGCCTCCCTCCTTGTCCCCAATGCAGAGTCACAAGCCCCAGTACTCACAGCCCCATGCATAGGGTTACCATATAAATAATAAATAAAATAAATAAATAAAAAAGAGGACCCTCCACGGGCCCTGGCCCCGCTCATTTCCCCACCCCCAGTCCCGCCCCAACTCCGCCCCTTCCCCGCCCTAACTCCGCCCCCTCCTCCCTCCCACTCCCAGCCACGCGGAAAGGGCTGCCCCAGCGCTACCGGCTTCGGGCAGCCCCCATGCCTCCGGACCCTGCGCCGCTGGAGCCCAGGAGGGGAAGTGCCCGGCCGGCGGCTGGGGTCCGGAGGCAAAGGGGCTGCCTGAAGCCCATAGCGCTCGGGCAGCTCGGCTCTTGAACAGAGCCGAAGAGTCAGGGGAGGAGCAGAGCTGCCATTTTCCCGGACATGTTCAGCTTTTTGGCAATTCCCCCCAGACGGGGGTTTGAGTGCCGAAAAGCCGGACATGTCCGGGAAAAAGAGGACGTATGGTAACCCTACCCATGCAGCTCTGGGCAGCCGTGATACTGGGTCCAGCTCCAGCCTGTCCTTCTCGGCAATTCCTCCCTGGCACAGTGCTCCTCCTGGCTCCTGTCCTGGGTGTCCCTGATCAGCCTTGTCCGTCTCAGGCCTCAGGCAGGTTCTCTGCTGCTTTTCTTTTCCAGAGCCTGCAGGCTGCCTCCCCCTCTCCTTCAATCTCCAGCGCTGCCCCCTGGAGTTTCCCTCCTTTTTCTTACTCTTCCCCTCCCCCTTAGGAAAAAAATTTAAAGGGCCATGCTCTCTAAACCCCAAAGGGGTTACATGTATTTGCAAAGTGTTTTTTTATTTATATGTAATTTAATTGACATTACATTTAATGCCGAACATCTCTGCAAAATGTTGCCCAGGAATGTCCATCAGAGGTGGCTGCATCACTGTGATTATTACGTATCTGTATTTCTGTAGCCCCTGGGAGGACAGGTCACGGCCCAGGTCCCCGTTGTGCTTTGGCTCAAGATATTCAGGCTCCTGCTTTAGATCTAGAGTTCTCCTGTTCGATCCCTGGGGATAATCTAGAAAAAATGCCAGGTTGGCTTGATACAGACCTGATACAAACCTGAGCAAATTAGCAACAGGACTCGTCCCTTTAGAGATTGTCCCTGTCAGTCATTGTGTTTGGGCCCATCCTATTGGAAGTGTTCAAGCCCCATATTATTGGGGTCTAGAAAATATTAGCCCAAAACACAAAAGGGAGAGGGCTGAAAAGAACACAGGACTTAAAGGGGCTTAGCAGAAAGTAACTAGTCAGCAGTGACCAATAGGAGGAAGGACACACTCAGATCAGGAGGTGTTTGCAGTGGGAAGGCAGAGAACGCCCAATGAGAACCCCCCTGGTGCACACAGACTCTACAGCAGCAGCCAGTGAGCAGGGAGCAGATTTGCATGAAGGGGCCGTTCTCCAGCTCTGAGGGTTTAAGAGAGAATCGGAGGGTCCCAGCCAGAGACCCGTTTGCCTCAGGAAGCCGAGCTCGTCTGGATTCCCGCCATGGCCTGGGCCCCTCTGCTCCTTGGGCTGTTTGCTTACTGCTCAGGTAAGGGGGAGCGTTTCTGATCTCAGATTTATTTGAAAGGACTTTTTCATGAATTCCTCCATATTCCTGATTCCCAGACTCCTGGCTCAGCAGGAAATGTGCAGGCGTTAACTCCAAGCCATGACGATCATGCAGCAGTTTCTATTTCTTTCCAGGTTCCCTCTCCCAATATACTCTGACTCAGCCGCCCTCAGTGTCCATGTCCATTGGCAACACAGTTAAACTCTCCTGTGCCATCGACAGTGGATACACATTTGGAGATGTCGCCTGGTACCAGCAGAAAGATGGGAAGAGTCCAAGATATCTTCTGAGGTACAACAAAGAGACTAACAAACAACAGGGCTCTGGGGTCCCCAGTCGCTTTGCTGGTTCCAAAGACGCCTCTAATACAACCTGCTACTTAACCATCACCAGCGTCCAAGCGGAGGATGAGGCTGACTATTACTGTGGCACAGGGGGTGGTGGTGCTGCACAGTGACACAGCCAGATGGGGAGCTCAGACACAAACCTGCTCTTCCCTCTTCCAACGCTGTATGAGTTCATCATGTGTCAGCGCTAAGTTATGATCATTCACCCAGTCTGAAAGCATTGAGGTGCCCCATGCGCTGCCCCACTCCCCTGTGATGACAGCTCACTGACTTGATCTGGAAATTTAAGGCAAAGACTTTGTCCCAGGGAACTGAACAGCAGTTTTAACATTTCTTCAAAGGGATCAGGGTTTGAGCCCTACAATGCAGTGCTCCGGCAGCAATGAGATTCAGTTATAATCCTAAAAGAAACATTCCTAAATCCAGTTCCCAGATACATGCTGTGAGAGGAGGTAGTTTGTGTTTATTAAATACTAGCCGATTCTTCAGTGAAATCCAAGTGAAACTCAGAGCCCGAAGAGCTGGGTGTTAGATCCCAGAGCCCAGGCATTTCACACACAAGAACAAAGCCAGGGTAGGAAAGGAACAGATCCTGGCCATGATCGAACAGCACCATGAGGATCAAACGAGCCTGCGAAATGACCAGGATAAACAAGACACAGAAGGGGCTCCCCCTGGTGGGGATATTGAGAGCAATCGAGTAGTAAAGACCCCACCACTCGCCCCAGTCCTGTTATTGGCGTATCTGACAAGTCATGGGAGTACCTAAGTCCTAACTATTCCTCAAGTGGATATGAGCCCAGAGGGACTAATTGGAGGGACGCAATAACACGCAGCCACACTCATAAATGACAAACTGAGCAGTAGGTAGTTGGGACCTGTCATGAATCTCTCCTTAAACTCCAGAGACTAGAGAGAATAAAATGTGATTTGAGATGCACCTGGATTTTCCCCGTCTACTCTTCTGCACATGTCACCATAGTTCAGTTATGACTGGGCACCAGGGGGCACTGTCTCCCTGCACTTGTATCATGAATTGTTTACAATGGAATAAAGTAAATGGTCAGTACAAATGTGTCGTCAGGAGTCTGGTGCACAGACCGTGGTGTTTGAACAGCTGCATCCTTTCAGATCCCTCATTGAGACCGAGTGGTGGGGGAGGAGGAGAGACAGGCGGTCCAAGGCACCCAAATGTACTGATTTAGGTTGTAGATTTATGAACCACTTCTCATTGTAATTGCTGGGTATTTAATTGCAATGTGTTTTTTTTAATTACATTTCAATTAACTGATATTACATTTAATGCTGAACATCTCTGCAGAATGTTGCCCAGGAATGTCCATCAGAGGTGGCTGCATCACTGTGATTATTGTGTATCTGTATTTCTGTAGCCCCTGGGAGGACAGGTCACAGCCCAGGTCCCCATTGTGCTGGGTGCTGTACAAACACAAAACTATGAA